CTGTTTTTCTGATAATTGGTTTTTTTGTCTATCTGTAAGGTTTTTAACTATCACTTTAGTCTTTTCTCTATTTATTTTCAATCCTGCTACTTCTTCAAATTCTTCAATCTTTGTCAATAATTTAGGGCCATGGTGGTGAACCTATGGCACGCGTGCCACAGTCCAAGGCCTCTGCCGCTGTGTGCAAAAAAAAAAAAAGGTTCAGTCAATCAATTTCAACTTCTCACGAGGAAAAAAAAAGATCTCGCAAAGTTGGAATTGCTTGATTGAACTTTATTTTCAGTCCCACACAGCGGCGGAGAAAGTGACGCGTCAGAGCTGGAATACCAATAGTCCCACAAACACGTGGCGAAGGCTGAGAAGCAAACGGAGAAACAGAATGCAGCTGAAAGGCAGGTTAGTAAAAAAATGCTTGGGGGAGGTGAGGGCATCTGGGCGGGGGCGGGAACTTTACCCTGCATGGTGGTGGGAGGGTTAACGGCGGGCACCGGGGACCCAGGATGAGCTGCACAAAGCAGGCAGAGGGGAGGCCGGGAAGATTGCGGGCACCACTCCTCGCTTCCTTCACTTTCTGTACCATGCCGGGGCTGGGTTGGACTGGGCCTCCATGCTACTTCTCCTGCGGATATCAGGAGTGCCCACCCCACCTACCCCTCGTCCCAGGGCAAGTGCCGCCATCCCGCGCTCTCCAGCCCGTTGCTGACCAGCCGGGCATGCCGAGCTCGGGCCTCGGGCAGATGGAGGCCAGAGGGGAGCGAGAGCCGCAGCTGCCCGGCTCCTCCGCCTGAGGATGCGTGCAGGGAGAGGCGTTGCTTGGCTCGGTAAGCCCCGGTCTGCCCACAGAAGGAGGAGGAGGATGGAGAAGGGCTGGCCAGAGACAGGCACAGCGCTACCCACAGGGGGAATCTGACCAGCCCCAGCCTGGAGGGGGGGAGAGACCGAGGGAGCCTAAAGGGAGGCATCCCAGCATGTCTGGCTGGCTGGCGACAGACTGGAGAGCGCTGGACAGAGGCAGCTGCCCTGGGACAAGGGATAGGCGGGATGGACGCTCCCAATGTCCGGGGGGAAGAAGTGGCAAGGAGGCTCCATGCCCAGCTCAGTCCAGCCTAGCCCTGGCACGGCACGGCAAGCAGCCCCACATGCATCCCCTGCCAGGCAAGCAGAGCTGCAGCATCTGCGGCAGAAGAGCGCAGGTGGGCAGCGGAAAGCACGAGGAGCCCCAATACCAGCACAGCCCCTCCCCACTCTCCTCCCCCCTGGAAGAGCTGTGGGGCTCAGGAACTCCCCCCCCATGTCCCCCTACCTCCCTCAGGGAAGAAAACCATCACGAGACACTCTTCTGTTTAATTTTTTTCCTTGTCGCTTTTTGGAGTTTTCATCCTACTTTCGTGAGACGGCAGCGTTTGGGAGGTGGCATGGCTGCCCCCTTCCCCCCCAAGCCATCAGCTGAGCAAGATGCTTTCCTGCCCACTGCCCCACCTGCCAGAGACCCCCTGGATCTCCCCCAATCCTGCCTGGCCCCCACAGGCATCCCTCCCCAACATTGAGCTGGCCATGCCCACTCTGGCCATGCCCACCCAGTCTGCCATGACCAGTGTAACCACACCCACCCAGCGAGCCACGCCCACCCAGCAATACATAAGTGGGTTTTGGGTTGCAGTTTGGGCACTCAGTCTCTAAAAGATTTGCCACCACTGATTTAGGGCTTGTCTCCAAGGGATCTTCTAAAATAACTGTGGTTTGAGCAATATGGGTATTCCCTTATCTCCTAGAACATGGGGAAGGCAACCCAAAACACTCAGAGCCATTTGGACCCATTTCCCACCAAAAACAAAACACTGGGAACCACAAAACCATTTTGATATCTAAAATGAAGATACCACTGCATATATCCTTTTTTACCTTTATTATAGGTATATATACATACATACATACATACATACATACATACATACATACATATATATCATAAAGGTAAAAAAGGATATATGCAGTGTTATCTTCATTTTAGATGTCAAAAGAGTCTCTCCCTCTCTCTCTCTTTCCTCTCCCTCTTTTTCCTCTCCCTCTCTCTTCCTCTCTCCCTTCTCTTTCTTTCTTTCTCTCTCTCTCCCTCTCTCTCCTCTCCCTCTCTCTTTCTCTCTCTCTTTCTCCCCCCTCTCTTCCTCTCTCTGATCTTCTGCTCACCTGGCCAGCTGGCTTGAAACTGTTCTCCAACAAGCTGACACACATTCTTATTGGGCTAGCTCAGGGGTAGGCAACCTTGGCTCTTTTATGATTCATGGACTTCAACTCCCAGAATTCCTGAGTCAGCATAGCTGGGCTAGCTAGCTCTCTCCTGCCCTTCCTGCTTCCTGCAGAGATGCAGCAAAGGGAGGAGCCCCGCCTATAAGCTTGTCAGCTCGTCGGAACAGGGTGAGGCTACTCTCTTTTTTACACACACACACACACACGAGAGAGAGAGAGAGAGAGAGAGAGAGAGAGAGAGAGAGAGAGAGAGAGAGAGAGAGAGAGAGAGAGAGGCTCTGTCTCTGTCTCTCTCTGCAAATGGCAGAGGAGGGTGGGAGCCGCAGGGGAAGGCTCAAAGAGCTGCATGCGGCTCCGGAGATACAGGTTGCCGACCTGTGTCCTAGAAGATCCTTAAAACTCACTGGAGACTGCTATTTTGAAATATCCTTGTGAGAATCAGCTGTCTGGAACATTTATGGATGATCTCAAGTCCTCCCCTTGTCAGTTCCACTTTTTGTGGTGCTATCTTCAATACACTATTTCTTCCTTTTGGTAATATTTTAACAGAATATTTAACAGAATATTTATTTTGACAGAAAGAGTAGATTGACAGTGAAACCAGCTACCATGTTTCTCTGAAAACAAGATGGGTCTTATATTTCTTTTTGGACCCAAAGATGCCCTAGGGCTAATTTTCGGGGGATGTGGCCACCTGTCCGCTCCATCTCACCTTCTGCTTGTCCGTGGCCACAACGGTTTACAGGGCTTCCTAGGAAAGACACTTAGAAGGCGAGGGCAGTACCGGCGCAATGCGCCTTCAGATGAGAGTGGTGGACAGGCGGACAAATCTTCCAGCCTCCATTAGTTCTCCATCCGGAGCCATTTTTTGCCCAGATGTAAAAATGATGGAGACTGGAAGCTTTGTCTGCTTGCAAATGGGACACTTGGAAATGGAGCGATTTGCTCCATTTCCAAGCGCCCCATTTGCAAGCAGACAAAGTTTCCAGTCTCCCTATGGGCGAAAAATGCATGGTGGAGCCAGGCAGAAGCAGAGGCATGGGGGGGAAGCAGGCAATCCAGACATGCTGTATGACCATCTGGCTCGCGGGAAGCTCGTGCAGTGGCAGCAGGTGGAGAGCATAGCGGGGAGGCAGGTGATCCCAACACGCCGCCCACTCCATCTGTCTCTTGGCTTGCCCATGGCCACACTGGGGCAAGGGGATCACAGCACATCGGGATCGTCTGCCCCCATGCCTCTGCCTCCACCTGCTGCCATTGCCATTGCGCGAGCCTACTGTGAGCCAGGCAGCCATGCAGCACATGCGGGTCACCTGCTTCTCCCCTGCCTCCGCGCTCGGACTTACCTGCATTGCACCAAGGGGTCGGCAGACTGCAGCTGCTGCTGGACACAATCGGCCCCCACGCACTCGCCGCCTCTTGTCCTGGCCATGCCCACCCATCCATCCCAGGCTTATTTTTGGGGTAGGGCTTATATTAGGCCCACCTCAAAAATTCAGGCTGGGTCTTATTTTCTGGATGGGTCTTATTTTCTGGGAAACACGGTATGTAGATGATAGGACCCTTTTATTCAGTGAATGCTTAACCCCATTATTTACATATTACTAAAACAGCCTTGAAATAATAATATAAGAGGGGTCTTTAGCAGCATCCTCTATAAGAAATTGAAATGAGCTTCCGGTTTGCAATCACAGCATTGGTGGACGTGTGGGTTGATCGCTCTCTCCACCTTCCAGTTTTCTCCCGCCGGGGGACCTTGAAGAGGGTTGGAAGTCGCCCTATAGGGGCAATGAACGAGAAGAGGACTCCCGAGTGATCGCGGAAGGGTGGCAGCCCTCCCGTTTGATCCGGGGCAGCTCTTCAAACTGATGGGGAAAAGATCGGCCATCAACATGGCCCATCACTAAGCTACTGACAGCCGAGGCCAAATTTACCAACAAGCACTTTCAAAGCAACACAGAGGAATTGGGTGAGATCTTACCTTATTTTCCTGTAAAAAGCTTCTTGAAATTTCTTCCCCCTATGATGAGAGAGGGAAGGGAACTTTTTCCTCCCACACTCTAAAATGGCGGTGTCTGACTACCCAGGAGAAACAAAGCATTGAAAAGAACAACTTAATATAATTGGATTTACATCTTTTTGGAATTTGGGGACCCAAAAAGTTTCTACTCTTACTGGGACCTGTTATTTTATTCTATTTGCAAAAAAGAACTCAAATTGGATAAGAACCTAGCCCGGGATCTAAAAAAAGACTTTAAATGCTATCGGGGACATCTTGTGGCGAAGCTTGGTAGAGCAATTTATTATTTCTGACAAAGAGACTTGCTCACAACCCAGACCTGACCTTTTTTTAGAATCTATTGAGAGATTCAACTCTGAGAGAGCATCTGGGCAGTGAAACTGGTCTCTAGGAACTGTGGAAATAAACATTTACTGACTTTTGTCAGCCTTCACTAGAAAGACCATCTACAATTATGCCAGAAATGGAGGAGGATCAGCAAAAAAATCTTGCCTATGCTAAAATCTATACTTGAAACTATTCTTACAGTCAGTGAGACAATGAGATCTAATCTGAAAGACCAAGCTGCCAGCCCAGATGTACAAAGCAAAACCTTGATTGCAACTAAAGAACCAATAATCCAAAAAACAACAGACGTGGAAGAAGTGAACACTAAGACAGAGGGTTTTTTTTTAAGACAAGTTTTATTAATTTTTCAATTTTTACATCAAAGTGCTTAGGAAACAATGTGGTGATGGGGTAATCAGTTATGCAAAAAACAAAGTTATACACATATAGGTCAGGTTAACTCCTTAAAAGTTCCCTCTCTATTTTCCTCAATTAATATAACATATTCAAATTAATACATTTCTAAATAAACTTCAATCAATCAAGAGTATTATCAATAATATTTTACCTATACAAGTCCAAATCCTGTTTTTAAGCTTTACTAACTTCCAATTACTGTATTCTAATTTAGCCTTAAATAAACATATTGTTTACATTTCGGGTATCCCTAATTTACCTCGTTTCATAACATGATGGTTATAATGTCTAAGATAAGCATATTATCCCAACAGTTATATTCTTACCTTTCCCAAATATATTCTATTTCTTATTCTAATAACTCATTTAGTAATGCCATGTCTTCCATTGTCACAATCCATTTTCTTATTCTTATTCCATTACAAAGTAATTATCATACCGAAAATAGCAGTATTATTCCAAAAAAATACATTCTTACTCTATTTCACAAATATATTCTATTTCTTATCCTAATAATTCTTCATTTAAAACCTTTTTCATATTATAATTCGAAACTATAATCTAACCAGTAGTTTTCATCTCGGTTATAGGTTTAGATCCTAAACATTAAGTCACTCCATATCTTTAAAAAGCCTTTTTAGCCAATTAAGTAAAATTTAAATCCCATCAGAGTAGTTACCATACCTAAAACAAACATGTTATTCCAAAGGGTATCTTCTTACTATATTTCAGATATATATATATTATTTCTTATCCTAATAACTCCTTATTTAAAACCTTTTCCATGTTACAATTCCAAAGTATAATCTAGTCAATAATTTCCATCTCAGTTAGTATTAAATCAGTCAATGTCTCTAAAAAGCCCTTTTAACCCATTAAGTAAAGTTTTAAATCCCATTTTTAAATCTGACTCTGGCTTTCTTTTTGTGCCAAGCAGGTTTCCATAAAAGAGCCTCTATATCATCAAATCTCAATGTTTGATTAGAGGTGTTTATCATCAATTCAGTCTGGTCATGTTTCTCTTCTCGTAGTTCCACTGCCATCTGAGTAACATAATCAATTTTGTCCAATGTTGTGATTGCTAGTTGGTTATCCAAATTATCACAACTCTCGGTAACTCGTATTTGCAGATCAATTCCTGTAGCTTTTGAAGTTAAAGGTGTTTTAGTTAAAGTCATTCTTTGGTCGTCAAAATTCTCAGTGAATTGTACGCAGGATTGTGTAATGTCCTCTTTGGTATAGATTTGTTCCTCTTCTGTTGTTTTTTGAGTTATAAAATAGTAAATTGGAGTCTGGAGATCAGTTTGAAGTTTTGGAGCAAAGGCTTTGATCTGATGTTCAGTTGCTCAGTGGCTTCAAGGGTTTTTTCCAGTATACGTTTATAATTAAGTTGTGGGTAAGGTTCCTCCATCTCATTGAATTGTATGTCAGTTAAAATTTGGGGATCAGTTTGTAGATCTGGAATATCATCTTTGGTTTTCATCCTAGAGTTCATTTGCTCCGTAACTTCAAAGATTTTTTCCAGTATGAGATTATAATTAAGCTGTGGGTAAAGTTCCTCCATTTAATAATAATAATAATAATAATAATAATAATAATAATAATAACAACAACAACAACAATAATACTAATAAAGTTGGAAGGGACCTTTATTTACTAACAGTCAGCCAATATCCACCTCCACAATTTCTAGCAGATAATTTCACCACCCAGCTGTTTCAAATCCTTTGTCTTTTCCCTTTTGTGATAATTTGAAGGTCAAACCCAGTCTCAAAATCAAAAAGGAAATGCAATTGCAATGTCAACTTTCGCCACAAGGTGTCCCCAGTAGGCTGTAAAATCTTTTTCCAGATTCCAATGAAGTTTTGTCCAGTTAAGAAAAATAAAATGAAAAAGAAAGACAATAATCTCCAACTTAATAAGTAGATAGAATAGTAAAATTCTATAATAGGGATTTTTTCAGGACCCCAGAGTATCCAAGAGTAGAAATAGTCATTAAAAATTAATTATGTTTTTTCTTTTGTTCCCAAAGCTTGTTTCTCAATTGAGCAAACGCTGCTCTATCAAAACAGGGAAATAATTCCAGAGGCTTTTCACAGGGAGGTAGTTAGGATAAAAGCAGGGGTCTCACCCAGATCTTCCATGGTGGTTTCTTTATGCTTAGATGTTCTTCTGAATTTCGGCTGGAGCGGCTAAGTCAGTGTTTCTCAACCTTGACAATTTTAAGGCATGTGGACTTCAACTCCCAGAATTCCACAGCCAGCATTGCTGGCTGTGGAATTCTGGGAGTTGAAGTCCACATGCCTTAAAATTGTCAAGGTTGAGAAACACTGGGCTAAGTGATCGGCCATGTTAATGGCTGATCTTTTCTCCGTCAGCCTGAGGAGCTGCCTTGGACCACGGAAGGAGCTGCCGCCCTTCCACGATCAGACGAGAGTCCTCCTCTGCGGTGGTCGCCTCTCCTGGGCGACATTCGACCTTGTTTAGGGTCTACCGGCAAAGGGAAAACCGGCCGGCGAAGAGACGACTCTCTCCGAGCGACCGCCAGCACCGCGATCCAGAACCGGAAGTCCTAGACAGAGGGCTTTAAAGATCAACAAGTACAGTTCACCGAAAATCCAATGAAACAATAACTTTAAAAATGGAAATGACTTTCTACACAAACCAGAAGAAATCTGAGAAAGAAGAAGACCAGATCGAATTGAAGACAACTATACCAGAGCAAATAAGGAGATCTGGGTCATCAGGGTGACAATTTAATGATTATAAATGGGCCAATTCTTCCAGAAAAGTGGCAACTAGATGGTCTCCTTTAATTCAAGTAACATACACAAGAATGAAGGGAGATCTATTCGATGATTTAAAAGCATTGGTATGAAAGCCTGGTTGGCAAAAGAAAAAAGCTAGAATTAGGTTGAAAAACTGGGGTCTTTTGATTTACTGAGAGGATCCTAAATTGTCAACCAGTGGACTAAAGGGAGATTTTGAAACAAGGGGAAATTTGATTATTAGATTTAAAATAGTTGGAAAATAGTAAAAAATAAGGGATTAATCTGTTTAATACTGAGGACTTAAGACTTACAAGGGAAATGAAAACTAACTATTAGGAAATAGGTTTGAACTATTAATTAGCCCAGATAATATAGATGATGGACTTGAGCTAGCAAAGGATATTCTATTATTAAGGTGGTGATGTACTAGGGTGAGAAATAGAAAACGTTTACGAAATAGAATTAAGAATATATTTAAGTAAGTAATATGTGCATTTTAGACATTATAATTTTTATGGAGTGAGACAAAGGAAATTTGGGTTACCCAAAAGTCAAATACTATGGATATTAAAGGTTAAATTGGAGTTCTGTAATTAAAAACTAAAAATTAGGTAAAACGTAATAACAGGATATGGATTGTTTATGAAGATCTATTAAGATGTGTATAAGCAAAAAATGTATTGATAACTGTGATAATGAAGTTTTCACTGAGTTTGATATAATTAGAAATTTACTAGCTTAAATACGATATAGCAAATGTTAAGGGAAACAGAGAAGAAACATTTGATGATATAACCTGAGATATGTACTAAAGATTTTGTTATTGAACTATTGATTAACCCAATCACCATGTTGCCTTCCAAATACTCAAATGTAAAACTGGAAAATCAATAAAATATTATAATAATAAAAAAATTAAAATGCAAATATAGAAATGAAGAACAAAACATTTGTTATACGACTTGTTTTTCAGACTCTGCTTTGTAAACATTAGTCTATGAATATTCTAATTTATTGGTATCCTATTTAAATATGTTGTCCAGAACTACACATTACATCACATTCTAAATGCAGCTTGAACATAATGAAATTGCTATTTTCCATGACCAAGGCATTATTCTTTATTTAATGTAACTTATTTAATGTAACTAGCTCTAATAGGAACTATATCATATCCAACTAGATCTGTTTTGCATGTACTGTAGCCAAAGTAAGATCTCTCATCATATCACTTTTCATAAAACAATGACAATGATATCAGTGATGGGACATTTCTCTCCAAGTTTGTTAAATACTTAACAATCCCACCAACCATTTTTCTAGGCAATATTTCTCACAGAGCTAAAAATTTTCTTGATCAGGTATATAAGCCACATAGAAAACAAATTCTTTTCAGTAGTCAAGTATAGCTGATCATTACAAGAAATCCTTCATAGTGGTATGATAGTATATAGATATGAAATCAGATCTTGATCACATTATTTAGATACCAGTTGCTCACTTTTATATGCAAGTATATGATGTTCAAAAGAAAAAAAGTGATGGAAAACCACGTGATAATTTTTTCACTTTTCTATCTAGAGTTTCAAACTCTTTAGAAACTCATTCAACATTTCTTCTGATTTTAATATTTATTCCCATTAGACCAACAGAAGACAATAGTTATTGGCTGATAGATGTACAATGATAATCTCTCTCTCCTCCAGTCCCAAGATCCTGCAGGTCCCCATCCTTCTATCCTTCTGGAAAATCTTCAAAAAGTCTGGTTCTTCCTCAGGCATTGGATTGGGTGAAGCTGGAACCCAGTGATTATTATTATCAGGAAGGGTTGTGTGAGGTTGCTGAGCACTATTTGTTCTGTGAATTTTTCAAATATGTTTTTATTGTTGCTGTAAGCCATCTAGTTATATAAAACCTTAAATAGATAGCCATATAAGGTTTTATGTATAAATATATTTTATAAACAAATATCTTGGATATCTGATCCAATGAGCAACAAATTTTCTGAGGTAACTTTTATTGTTTCTGGATGATATTCTAGATCAGGGCTTTTCAACCAGTGGTACGGGTACCACCTATGGTATATTGGCACCTGGCAGGTGGTACGCGACCATCCTAGAAAAGTGGTAGCGGGGGAGGGGAGCTCGGCGCTGATCCTGGTGTTTCGGCTGAGCCCAGAAGCGCCGATCAGCTGGAATGTTGCAGCATCTCCAGGGTCTTGTGATTTACATTCAGATGCTTGGCAACTGATTCATATTTATGACGATCACAGTGTCCCAGGGTCATGTGAAGTGACTAAAACCTGCTGCAACCACCCAGCAGACGGGGGGAATAAAAACCAAACACCCCCCCACCCCCGCTGCCAATCCTCAACAGAAATGTTCACAGCAATGAAAACCTCGGACAGGAGGAAGAGCGCGGCCGGGCGGGCAGGCAGGTGTCTTGGTCGGCTGTGGCTTGGGGGGCACTTTTTTCAGTGTCATTGTAACCTCAAACAGTCACTAAGCGAACTGTTGTAAGTCGAGGACTACCTGTACTTTATCATTTTTTTCCTTTTTTTTTTTTGGTCATCAATTTTTTGACACCTTGCTAGGCAACTGGTGGTACTCGGATGTTGCCATATCCTAAAAGTGGTACAATGGGTGAAAAGGTTGAAAAGCCCTGTTCTAGATCACGGCTTTTCAACTGGTGGAACATGTACCACTGGTGGTACTTTGGCACCTGGCAGGTGGTATGCAACCGTCCTAGAAAAGTGATAGCGGGGGGGGGGAGAAAAATGAGCTGAAGTGTGGCAGCGTTGCACATGCCTGAGGGAGCTGCAGGGCTGTTGGGGCTTGGAGCTGCAGGGCTGTTGGGGCTTGGCAGAAGCCCCAGGATCAGTGCCGGGCTCCTGCTGATTGGCACTTACGAAAGCAGCATTTAACTGGAAGTGCATGAAAAAGGAGATGGGAGAGAGAAAAGGAGGTAAAAACAGAAAGTTTTGGCGGGAAAAGGCCAGCGCCCCGCGTTCATGCTGACTGCTCAGAAAGAAAAGAGGCCAGCCCAGGCCAACCGGGTGCTCATTTACAACCTCGTACCTATCATGCTCAGCCCTAGATCTATGGGACAACCCTGGAACCAGCGACGGGCCGCCTCACCCCCTTGGGCATGCACACAGGAGGCAGTGAGCAAGCACAGAGGCCTGGGTGTCCCTGGGGGCCGCGCTCTGAGTGCTTCACAGGTTTATTTTTTTAAGCTGTCCGAGGCTCCGGGCAGGAGGCTTCCCATTTTGACCCCTTCCCCCCTTGCCTCTGCTCCTAAAGGGCCTCTGCATGGCTCTCAGCTCACCTCTCCCACACCTGTGCACGTGTCTGTGTGAGTGTGTGTGTGTGTGGGCGTGCACGTGCGCGTGGGGAGGGAGTCTCACCTCTTGCAGCCCCACGCTGTGACATTGGGGAGGAAAAGAATGGGAGAGGTAAGAGAAGCTGCGATGGGAGCTTCTTGCAGCCTTCCACAGGGTTGGAGGCGGGAGCTGAGGAGGGCAGGGCGCGATGCGATCGGTGGCATGTTGAGAGAAAAAAACAAGTACTCCAAAAAACCAGCTTTCACTAGTTTGCAGCCTATCGCAGAAGGTCTCTGTTGAGGGGATGGTGCTACAAGGGTGAGACCCCCCACATGTGCGCGTGCACACACACACACACACAAAAACAAACAGGTGCATGGGTCTGGGAGAGGTGAGCTGAGAGCCACGCAGAGGCAATGACAGGGGGGAGGGGTGAAAATGGGAAGCCTC